CGGCGGATCAGGACAAAAAGTGCAAGAGAGAACGCAGCACAGAAGGTGAGCATTACGGAAGAGAGAAAGGAAAAGGATCGTCCTCTGTATTTCAACAGTTCGTGGGTGTACCAGCTCAAAAGGGTTAAAGAAAAGATGAGCTTGTGGTGCAAGGTAGTAGAGCTGCAGTTTTCTGAGCACAACAACACTACGCGACCTTCTCCTTTGCACAACTACAAACACTGTTACACTCGCTGTAGCCGCCATCATCTATGTCATAAGCACTACAATGACATGGTTTCTGCATCCATGCGTGTAGACTGTCCCTCCGTTCCTGACTGCAGGCACCCTCCGCATCCGGACACTGTATGTCCATTTTGTGGCCATGGGCGTTTTACTGAACGCATGGTCTTTTGTGGTGATTGTTCTTGCAATCGACATGCCGTTTGTCGGGGGTGTATGGTCGGCATGCTCAATGCCAGCCGTCGTGGCAATTGTTGTACTGAGAATGCTCAGCTAGGTTTTCCATGTTTTTTTTCATCCGCCTCATCCTTACAATGTATGTCCTCTCCGTCATCAAGGACAGACTGATTCTTGAGCCTTTTCTTATCCTCTCCTTTGCCTTTGTCATCGTTCCACACTCCTTACTTTCCCTTACTTTCCCTTTGTCATTCTTTGTTTTCTCTTCTCTCCATCTCTCTTCTCTGTGTTTATCCCCTCCAATTTACTCTGTCTCTCTCTCACAGTGTACAAGTGGGCCGTTATGGCACATGGGGATGCGGGCAGCTCGTGCCCAACTTCATCAACGTGGTGAGCCTTTCCGGATTGCGCGCATCCTCTGCATCTGGAAATTATATGTCTCTTTTCTTGTCAGGGACATTATGAAAGAATCATGATCTTCTTTGATGCCCCTTTCTCCTTCCTTCTGGCCTGCAACTGAGTTGAACTGGCACTCCACTTGTCGGGAGTGTTTGATCGGCATGATGGTTATTAATTAATATTAAGTTAATAATACTTGATATTAACACCAGTCGAGGCCACTGTTGTGCTGTGAATGCGCAGCACGGTCTTCCATGTCATCACCCACCTCATCCACAAGGCCAGACTGACTCCTGAATCTTCTTTTCTCCTTCCTTATGTTCGATTTCTGTGCTTGTTTGTGTCATCCTTGCGCAGAGGCCATGCTAAACGTTGATGAAATGATGCTAATCTTTTGATGCATGTCATGTTTGCTAATCTTCTCTGTACCCTCCTTTTTGTTGTTTTTTTCCAGGCCACCAGATGCTAATCTTTTTGATGTATGTCATCTTTGCTAATCTTCTTTGTACCCTCCTTTTTATTGTTTTTTTCCTAGGCCAACATAGTGGCTTGGGTAAAGTTGCCAGGCCGGGCAAAAAAAAAATAAAAAAAATGAAACAAGTGGACCCACCGCGGCTCCGCCCGCGGCGAGAAGAGGAGAGACTGTGAGAAGGGAGGACAGGTTGCCCTCTCCTCTTTTTTTTCGCCTCGTTGCTGCACCTTCTATTGCCTGTCCAAAAAAAAAAAAAAAAAAGAGGACAGATGTTCTCTCCCTCCTGTCCCGCATTCCGACTTCCATCCCTCCCTCCTCCCGACTCCCATCCCGACCTCTCCCCCTCCCCATCCCGACCATATTCCGACGCCCTTTCCCTTCCCGACTCCGATCTCGACCACTTCCCCTCCCCATCCCGACCTCTCCCCCTCCCCATCCCGACCATATCCCGACTCCCATCCCGATCTCTCCCCCTTCCCATCCATCACCTCCGACCTTTTCTATCCGTCCATCGGGACCTTTCTCCTCCCGACTCCCTTCTCCCTTTCCTCTTTTCCTTCTTTTGACGACCTTCCCCTTCCTGACTCCCATCCCGATCTCTCTCTCTCCCCATCCCGACTTCTCTCCCCTTTTCTTTCTTGGCTTACCTTTCCCGACTCACATCCCTCCTGTCTTCCCCTATCTCAACCACTATCCCCCCTCCTCTATCCTGGTATGGTCCCCCTCCCCCTTTTTGACTCCCATCCCGACTTCTCCCCCTCCCCATCTCGACCTCTCCTCCCAACCTCTCCCCTCAGATGTTATCGACATGTTGGTGTGTATGTGTGCCAAAAAAAAAAATATAAAAAAATCAACCTCTCCCTTCTCCCTTTCCTCTTTTCCTTCTTCTGACGCCCTTCCCCTTCCCGATTCCCATCCCAACCTCTCCCCCTTCCGATCGCGACCT